GCATTTGTCATGAGTCCCCCACCACATCCATCGTCGCATGCTTTCTTGTCTTTTGGATCGCACTAATTTCACATATATTATACCAAAGAAATTTTCAGAAATTTCAAACAAATACCACGACATATATATAAATATATAATTAGTTATGCTCAAAAGTAATTAAATGAATGGGTGGTTAACACAGACCGCTTTATCACAATCCACAAGTTGTTGTTCGCTAAGACTGACGAGCTCCCCTGTGGAGACAAAATTGGCTCCTTCAACAGCTCCTGTTGTGCTAAAAGCCCAGCACGATCCACATGAACCCTTCACATCCATAGTATAAAGTTGATATAATTAACATACACTAAAATAATACTTTTGTAAGCTGATTACTATACTATAAGATCCTTAATCACAAAATAAAACAAAGAACACAATGTCGAATTTACTAGTTACCCTTTCGGCCTAAGAACGATCACACCAAAACCTATACCCATTATGGGTTTTATTTTATAAAATATAGCTAATATAAATCTAAAGGATGATTTTGATACATCTATAAACTTGAAATGACATTCACAATCATAAATTAAGATAATTCCTTACGCATAAGCTAATAACCATCTTTATACTTACTTTCAAAACAAAAACAGTTATTTCATTTGCATATGTTGTTGGCTACAACAAATTAAAAACAAATTTAAAAAATGATTTTTTTTCCGCTGCAATCAATAGATTAAAGGTACATGCAAAACATATAAGATAGAAGAACATACTTGATCCTTGACCTCAGTAACTGCACCTTTCTCCCTCCAGTCAAAATCTTTGGGTAATCCCTTAACCTCCAGCTTGGGTGCCTCTGCTCCAACCACACCACCATGGCCGGTTTGGACATCAGCTAATCCAGTGTACATCTTCGTGAACTCCTCCTCCGTGAGGTCAGAGAACCGCGTGACACCATGGACGGCGGTGGGATCCATCATCTGATGCTCAGCCGCCTTGAGGACGTTTTTGGCAAATATCCCGAGGCGGTGGACGTACTCCTCCCTCGTGGAGTAGCTCTTGCCATAGTCCGACATGAAAACCCGGAATTTTCTCTCCGTGTGTGTCCCGAGGAGATTGGGGAGTCCATCTTCTGTGACTTGGCGGATGGTGAGGTCTTCTAAGGAAGCTGTCACGTGACAGAAGAAGGCCGTGCATGTTAGAACCAGTGCTAAGGTTTTAGCCACCATGATCGCTGTATATCGATGGGTCTTGTTATGAGGCGGCCTTGAGAAACCCCTTAAATAGAGCCGATGGCTTTGTGTGTATACAAGAGGAGAAGGGTGACTATAAGAGTTTAAGGTAGCGAAAGTGTTGGAGTCACATGCAAATATGAGACGCGTGGGATGTTTGCATGTTGAATTACAAAATGAATCTGCGTGACACGTTGCCTCTTATGTAAATGTGTAGACCAATTTGTCCGGTATATCTTTTGCTATTTTTTTATTGTTAAAAAAGAATTATCGAAACTATCTCAAATACTATAGTTTTTTTTGGCTGAATCTCAAATACTATAGTTGAAAACCTCCTAATTTTTAACCCTGTAACTATCATACGTAATAACAAAGGGCTTCTGTGATATTACCCTATGATATTCATAGGGTTTTTGTGGAACTAATATTTACTAGTTTTGTTTATTCAACTGAGAAGTGTGAATTTGTGTTATTTGCAGAATTCAATCAGATGACAAAAAAAATAAAAATAAAAAATCAGATTTTAAATCTTTGGACATCAAAAACACTGTTTACGTAGAAGTCGTTTTGTTAAAATCTGGCATCCATATTGTATCATATAGCACCTTAATAGTTAAGGAGCTTGGGGGAACATGTAACATATCGAGAATTGAAATGGGGGGTACTAGTATCGATTACTATAAAATACTGTATGAAATGAGATGCTTCAAGTGAGTGGTACTCTTTTAGAAATCTAGATCTGTGAAACTAAATTAAACTTGATCGTTCATCAACTCATATAGGTGTTTGATCACACGAATTAATTAATTGTGTAACGAGGAATTATTTGTTTGACTAGAATAGTAATATTAGTTCAACATAAATTTGGAAAATGGTTCTACAATTCCGCAAACGAATAGAGTTGCACATTTGAAAGAGTGTTTTCTCTTTTTCTAAAAATGGGTTTTGTTTTGTATTATGATCCTGTATGAGAAAATATTTTCTTTTGGCAATTATACATATCATTGGAATCACAGTTTACATTCAACTATTATTGGCAGAAATATATACTAAATAACTATATATTTTGAGTTTTATTGTGCATAGTCAAATGCATCCTCGGTTTTCATACTTTTGTTTTCTTTCAAATATTTATTTTCTTATATTTTCAGTTTTAGTGATAAAACAATCATTACTACCAATTTACCAAAATCACAACCATTTAAATATTTTTAAAATCAGATAAAAAAACATGATTTACCGAAGTTAATATCAACAACTTAATTTATTTATCCTATAGAACAATGGTTAAAAATACATCTCCCCTAATTTGATCTCCTCCTTCAGTTCTTGGTGGAAAAAAAGAAAAAAACAGAAACAATCTCATTTCATCATCTTCTTTTCTTTTCTCTAGGGTTATGATCAATCCATCTAACAAAAAGAATACCAAAAGATTACATTTTCTTTAATCAAAAGAATCCAAAGATGTTGAACAAAATCAAGAAACTAAGCCAAAAGAAATTCAACAAATCAGATCAACACAACCAAGACAACAACCCCACCAACACAAACGTCGTCCGCAGCAGCCGCCCTCCACCCGTCACCGCATCTCCAACACCAAATGGCGATTCTCAGACACCAGCTCCATCCCCATCCCAGACACCAAACCAACCAATGTTCACAACAACACCAACCCTAGAAGTCCTCCCATTACTCAAAGACGTGTCCTCATCAGATCGTCCCCTCCTCTTCATGAAAAAGGCTCACATGTGTTCTTGCCAATGCGATTTCTCCGACACGTTGATCATGCCACGTGAGAAAGAGATCAAAAGACAGACACTCCTCGAACTCGTCGATTTCCTCCACTCCTCCTCGGGTAAAGTCAACGAGACCATGCAGAGCGAGCTTATACGTATGGTCTCCGCCAACATCTTCCGTTCTCTCCCACCAGCGCATTACGAGAACACAGGAGCTCCTCCTGAAGGTAACGATCCCGAGGAGGAGGAGCCTTATCTTGAACCATGGTGGCCTCACCTCCAGCTTGTATACGAGCTTCTCTTGCGTTACGTTGTCTCTTCTGAGATAGAGCCAAGAACTGCTAAAAGATTCATCAACCACACGTTTGTATCAAAACTACTCGATCTCTTTGACTCTGAGGATCCTAGAGAGAGGGAATATTTGAAAACTGTTCTTCACAGAATCTACGGGAAGTTTATATTTCACCGACCTTTTATAAGATGTTCTGTTTACAACATCTTCTACAAGTTCTTGTATGAGACTGAGAGGTGTATTGGGATAGGAGAGTTGTTGGAGATTCTTGGGAGTGTGATTAATGGTTTCACAGTACCAATGAGAGAGGAGCATAGGTTGTTTCTTGTGAAAGCCGTTTTGCCGTTGCACAAGTCTAAGAGTATATCTGTTTATCACCAGCAGTTGTCTTATTGCGTGACGCTGTTTGTGGAGAAAGATTATAAATTGGCTGATACTGTGATACGTGGGTTGTTGAAGTACTGGCCGCTTACGAATTGTAATAAGGAGGTTCTGTTCTTGGGAGAGCTTGAAGAGGTTTTGGATGTTACAGAGCCTTCAGAGTTTCAGCATTGTGTTGTTCCTTTGTTTACACAGATTGGGAAGTGTCTTAACAGCTCTCATTTCCAGGTTCGTTGTGTAAACCTTTTGGCCTTTTTGATAGTGATTTTGAAACCAAGAAATCTTCTTTAGTCTAAATATCTAAAAGCCAATGTTCTCTATCTAGTTTCCGCTACATCATGTGGTATTAGAGCCATATTATTCGTTTAGTCTTAGAATTCCTGAATATACGAAGTCTTTTTATATTAATTGAGATCTCTATATATCTACCGGAAACAATGAACAAAAAGAAAATTCTAGACTTTTATGAATCGAATAAAAAATTGGATACAGACTTAAAACTTAACATTAACCCTCAAACAATAAAGATAATAATCATAATAATTTAATATTAGACTAAATAATGAATATATTTGACATATTAGTCAAATATTATCTTTGTATCATGGGGTGTGATTGTTGATAGAGAGATGTGAGGAATGCAGGTGGCAGAGAGGGCTCTATTCCTGTGGAACAATGAACATATCGTAGGCCTTATTGCTGAGAATAAGGATGTGATTTTTCCGATAATATTTGAAGCATTAGAGAAGAACATGAAAGGACATTGGAACCAAGCGGTGCATGGTCTATCTGAGAATGTTAGAAGAATGTTTATGGAAATGGACAATGACCTCTTTGAAGTGTGTGAGAAACAGTATCAGGAGAATGAAGCTAAGGCTGGGAAGTTGTTGGAACAAAGAGAGATGACATGGAAGAGACTTGAAGAAGCTGCTTCCTTAACTGCAAACTAAAATAACATTTTGATGATGGATTTTTTGCTATATTTTTTTTTCTTTTACAAGAGTAATGTTTTTAGAAACTCTAATAATTTATCTTTTTTGCCTATCACCAATTGGTATAGTTGATGTTGCATTATGTTTTTAACTACACTTAAATCAGATTTAATAGATTTCAGCCATGTTCACAATTTTAATTGACAAGAACCTAACAACGCTTTACAGCTTCTTACACTACACTTTTTAACTGTGTGGAAAAAATGAAAAGCGTATAAGATAGTGTTACAAAAAGATGAAGATGCTACAACGTGATGAAAAAACCATTGCATTTGATTTGATGAGATTCGTCTTTGACGTTGCCATCACATTCCATTTTAGTTTTGTAATGTTATGAACCCAAAAAAATAATAATGGAGAGAAACTGTACACCAACCAAGCCAACAACCAATCAATTGAAGGGTCCAAATCCTATTAGTTATCCTTACGGACTACAACAATAATAGAGTTGATAATGACAAAACACAAATTATTATCAAAGAAAACAATTGCGTAAAACGTGGTCGTTGCGGTGCATTGCTTCCAAATATCATCCCGAAGAAATTGCTGTCATCGCTGGTGCTGCTTCCTCTCGTCGTCGTACCACCAATAGCACTCGTCCCTCCATCGCTGCCGCCACCACTGCCTTCAGCACCACTGCCTTCAGCACCACCGCCTTCACCACCACCACCACCACCACCGCCTCCATAACCAGAATAAGAATCGCCACTCTGACCTTGATCATCCCTGCTCCACCAAATATCATGTCGTTTGAACAAGTCATGCGTAATAAAATCGACCGTATCATGCTAAATCCAAACATACAGAAACAAAGTCAAAAGTATACATGAAAGCTATTAAAAAGGAATCATCCTTTTCTACGTAGGGGGCCCATCTCTCTTAACTACATTTTCTCCATCATAATTGCATCATTAACTCCCAAAAAATTATTGGCTTTTTCGTATTATAAACTGACTAGGGGACAAATACTTAACATGTGATGTATCAAAAATGGTAGATGCATCACACCTCCATATCTTAACTAATTATAAAATTATGACAGACAATTAGACCGCCCATATTCCCAAATTGACAAAATTACTTGAAAGGGTATAGTCTAAAATAATTGCAATATTAAAATAGCAAGTGGGGTTTATTCAGACAGACATTAGTCAGTTTTCTAGACAGACGATCACGTGCATCTACTTGAATTCTGGAATACTGCCAAATTCTAACGCCTGAATAATATTCTCAATGAACAATTTTTTTTCCAAAACCAATGAGTTAACTAAGTTCTTAACATAATTAATTCAAATTATTTTATAACTTACCAATATATAGTCTCACTATTAGAGGCATAATCAAACATAGCAACTTGAACTACAAACTATAGAACCATGATTATTAATGATACAAGTAACTAGACTCCAAAAGAAAGAACTAACTAAACCCAAACACCAACCACAAAAATAGCAAAAGAAATACTCTTCTTATGTTGATTGACTTGACAACGTTAACAAATCCTGCGCTAATCACGCACTTTGGCAACTAATCTAATTATATACTAACATCAACTTTAAAATGTTTTCAACTTTAAAATGTTTTGTATTTTGTACATACAAAAGGAGTAAAAGTGGGAAAGGTACCTGGGACCGCCAAAAACGCCAGCGTTTCGAGTGAGCTGGTCTACAAGAGCGGAAGCTTTAGGCTCCACACTCGAAGCTTTAGAGAACAATGCGCTCACTCCTCCACCAGACGCCACAAAGAAAGCTCCGTTCTCCATCAAATCCCCTTCCGTTCTCCAATTCCAATTCGACCACTCTCCATCATCCTTGGAATCCACCCTCTTCGTCACCTAGCTCCAACCAAAAATCTCTCACAATCAGCATTCTTCATGATTCACGCGCCGCCTTAGAGCGTGGTGTTATAAAGAGTAATGAAGAAGTAAGAAAAAAAGTTTGTGGGACAGTGAGAAGCAGCATCAAGCAGCTCACATGGCTGTCATGCACTCACTATACATATCCATCACTGTCCCACACTCTTCCTAGACCCAAAAAAAATAAGATTCTTTTACAATGTGTATACTGTATCCTTTATTATATAAATTTCATAAGATAGATTGTAATATACGGATATTTCCAGATATTTTCTTGCTCCTAACAAAAGTATAACAACTGTCCATGTGAAAGATGAGCTGGATTCATAAGAAGACTATCCACACTCAACATCTTCACTAGCCAAAATAGACGAATGAGAGCCCCTCATTGGTCAATTACTCGAAAAGCTAACTCGTCACTCAAAAAGCCTAAAATCTTTCCACAAAACTACCTAAAACCCTAAAATGCTCTGTAATAATTAAGCAAAATCTACTTAAAATAACAAGAAAGGAAAGTTTTTTCGATATTAGTAATTCAAGATCAAAATGAAAAAAAAAAAGAGTTTATAAATTTCACCTCTTTAGTACTAGAATCTTGGTTTTTGAATAAAACATAAATCTTTCCACAAAAACTAACTAAAACCCTAAAATGTTCTTAAACAAAATTAAGCAAAATCTACTCAAAATAACCAAAAAGGAAAGATTTTTCGATCTGGGAAAATTCAAACAAAGATTACCTCTTTGGCGCTAGGATCAGAAGGAGCAATGTAACGATTCCCCTGACTATTAATCGTGGGATTCCCACTCCCACCAATAGCATACATCTTCCACTCCGTAAAATCATTATTCACCACATGTATATACCCTCTCCGACACCTCGGCATCCTCTGCACAAGCCCCTGTCCGAAATGATTAAACGCGATCGTCACCTGCATCCCCGTATCCGGACCATAACTATCGTCATGTCCCAACAGCATCACCTCGTCATGATGCGTGAAATAATTATTCGATATGGTTATCCCGGTGGACCCCATCACCGCATCTATAAGCCCGTCGGTGCAATGACTCATGGAGCAGTGGTCGATCCAAATCTTCTGGGACCCGAAGATGGAGATCCCGTCGCCGTCCGACCTACCTCGCCGCCCGGACTTGGTCGGCGTGGCGGCGACGACGGCGCCGCCGGAGGGTTTGCAGTCGTAGATGTGGAGGTTGTGGATGATGACGTGTTGGACGTACTGGATGGTGAGGCAGCCGTTGCCGGTGACGTGGACGGCGGAGCCGCGGCCGTCGAGGGTTTTGTAGGAGTTAATGATGAGTTCTTGTTTGAGGCGGATGAGCATGTTGGAGGAGAAGATGATCCAGAGAGGCTCCTCTTGGATGACGGCGTGGCGGAGGGTGCCGGGGGTTGGGTTTGATGGGTTGTTGTCGGAGGAGTCGGTGACGGTGTAGGTTTTTCCGTTTTTGCCGCCGAGGGTGCCACGGCCGAAGCCGATGGAGCAGTCGGCGAGGCGTTGGCGGTTGGTGGACCAGGAGGTGGAGGTGCAGCGCCAGCAGTCGTCGATTGGGTTGCCGGTGCGGCAACTGGATGATGATGAGGAGGAGGAGGAGGAGGAGGAGGAGGAGGAGGAAGAGAGTTGTCTCCGTGAGAGGGATGCATTGATTGAACTGTGGAAGTAGAGAGAAAAGAAAGTATGAGAGTTTGATTTTTTTAGGAGAAATGTGGAGATTTGTTTTGTTTACCTTAAGACGTGGAGAGCGACGGAGTCAGGGGAAGGATGTTGGTGAGGGAGAGTGAGATTAGTGGCTTCGAGGAGTGTGAAGAAGAGGCAGAGGAGGAAAATGGTGTTGGAGATGTGTTGAAGGAGCATCGTTACTGGAGGGTTGTGACTTTTTTTTTGGCGGTGAGGTTGGAGTGTAATTTTTTTTGCTAGTTTGGTGGAAGGAAGGAGAGCATTGGTAGTGAGTGAGTGAGTGAGTGAGTGTCAGAGGGAGAATGTTGGTTTAGAAATGTGAGGGAATGGGAGAAGAGAAGGTTTTGGGATCCACATGGGAAAGAAGCTTTGAAGAAGAAAGAAAGAAGAAGAAGCTGTGTTCTCTCTCTCTCTCTGCTCTGCTTCTACCCTTTAAAGTTAGAAAGTAGAAACAAAATTAATAGGTTTTCTTCTTAAGCTTTTGGATTTGTTGTTCTCGATTGTTTTGGCGTTGAGATATTTAATTAGACTTTGTCTCATATTTGGTAAGCGAGGTTATATTATTATTGGGCCTGATGTTAAAATTGATAATTGCTATTTGGGCCTAGAATAGTATCTCATTTCATTTTACCACCCGCGTCGTTTTTAGAGCAGGGGGGGGGGGGGGGG